TTGCTTCTAGATTGGCCCTGGGATGGTTATGACTGACAGTCTCCTTGCTACTGTGGAGCCAGGAAGTAGCCCTGACCATTTGCGGTGCCAACCCCAGTTCGACACCACTGGATGTTCATCCTTACCATGACCACCACCACTAGCTTGTCATAGTGGCAGCTAGTGGACATGACATGTCCATTGCTTGTCAAATGACGTGACCGGCTAGGGCATCAGAGCAACACAGGAGAGGATGAATGGCCCTTTCCTTTCCTCCTTCTTCAATCACTCTTACAATGTAACTCCAGATGAGCAATGGCTACCAGCTACATTGCACCTGCTGGCCACCGCTATGACTCAAATAGGAGGGAGATGGTGAGTGGATATATCTATAATTACAGGCATTTTCTCACCTGTCTTCACATCAGCTAAATATTCAGAATAGGCAATATCCTTATTTAAAAGGTTGGGGAAATTAGATTCAGAAATAAAAACTTACCCAAGGCCACTCAGGATACAGCCACATAGGTCACTTCTTAGGCCCCTGCAACAGTTTTAGAAAATAGGCTCAACAGAACAAATAATCAACACTCCACGAGATATGCGTGCTATGCATAATGCCCAGAAGTCCATGCATCTGAGACAAGAACAGCAAGAAAATCCAAGCAGACGATGGTTATGATTTGTGGCAAGAATAAGGAAAAAGCAATCACAATTTAAGAAAGAACCAATTTGGGGAGGGGGGGTCTTTGAAACCCAGTCCAATGAGCAAAAGCTGAAGAAATTGCATATGGCTCATTTTTACCCAAATATATACAGACCCCTCACAGAGATAATGGAACAAGTTAGTTCTTTGATGCTGCTAAGGGTAGGCCAAAACCAACAGGCCCAAATTCAAATAAAGCAGTAGTTGTCAACTTTTCTAATGTCGCAACCCCTTAATACAGTGCCTCATGTTGTGGTGACCCCCAACCTTAAAATTATTTTCATTGCTAATTCATAACTGTAATTTTGCTACTGTTACGGATCGTAATGTAAATATCTGATATGCAGGATGTATTTTCATTCGCTGGACGAAATTTGGCACAAAGAAATTTGGCTCAAATTTTAATACTGGTGGGGTTGAGGATTGAGTTTGTAATTTGGGAATTGTAGTTCTCAACCTTCCTAATGCTGCGACCCCTTAGTACAGTTCCTCACATTGTGGTGATCCCGAACCATAAAATTATTTTTGTTGCTCCTAGAATACTGGTGGAGATGGGGGTTATGATGTTGATTTGTCATTTGGGAGTTGTAGTTGCTGGGATTTAAAGTACACCTACAATCAAAGAGCATTCTGAACTCCACCAATGATGGAATTGAACCAAACACACAGAAGTCCCATAACCAACAGAAAATACTGGAAGGGTTTGGTAGGCATTGACCTTAAGTTTTGGAGTTGTAGTTCACCTACATCCAGAGAGCACTGTGGACTCAAACAATGATAAATTAGGACTAAATTTGGTGTGGATATTCAATATGTCCAATTGTGAACACTGGTGGAGTCTGGGGTAAACAGACCTTGGCATTTGGGAGTTGTAGTTGCTGGGATTTATAGTTCGCCCACAATCAAAGCGCATTCTGAACTCCACCAATTATAGATTGGGCCAAACTTTCCACACAGAACCCCATGACCAACAGAAAATACTGTGTTTACTGATGGTCTTCGGTGACCCCTCTGACACCCCCCTCACAATCCCCCAGGAGTCCCGACCCCCAGGTTGAGAAACGCTGCAATAAAGGCATTTCAATGAAATACTATTAGAATCTTACTGATGTACAAACTGTTAAAAAGTAGAACAGAAATCCCTGTAAGGTGGTTGATTCAGCTGCATCTGCATGGCCATGTATCAGGGATGCATCCGCTGAGGATTTTATGCATCAGGAGAAGTTAAGATTAAACTCTGAGTCTATGATCTCATACATTTTAATTATTTATCTACTGAAATTTTAATTCTCCATTCTTTATCCACGGCTCTCAGGATGACACATAGTAAAATCCATGTTGACAGTTTACAACATTTGAAAATAATAAAAGCAATTCGAATAGACCTAAAATACATTAAAGGATCTGACAAGTTAACACAAGTTTAAAACCAGTCAAAGCAGTTTAAGACCATTTAAACCATGCAAGTGCACAGGTATATCCATTTAATAAACTAGCCCCAAAGGCTCTGGCACAAATGTTTTCTCTTTGTATGGGAGTGCCACCACCACCAGTGCCAAATGGCTTCTAAGAAGGAGAGTACAATTAGCCCTTCACATCCACGCACATTAGGGATCCTTGCAAAAATGGAAAACCACTGCTAAGACTGCTAAACTCTTCCACAAACATGCATCCTTATGGAGCCACCAAGACACTGCTGCCAGATTTTTAATGCCCTTTCTCCAGTCTCCAGTGACTTTCTCTCTTTACTCCTCTTCCTCCCAGTTCTCCTCCCTGGATCACATGTCCTTCCAAAAGCACTGTCAGGTTTTAAACCCCTTGCAACCCCGCAACCCATTCAAGTATCAAGGTTTGTTTTATTACTAACAACTTGAATTCAGAAAAAAAGCATACTGGCAGGCAGTGCAATTTCTTTAGAAACAGTGTGAGCTGCAAGGCCATGCAAAGCTAATCAGTAGGCATGGGCAAATCTTTTCAGGTGTTGTGGAATTCGGAACTAAAATTGGAAGTTTCCCACTTCCGACTTAGGTTCTGATGTACAATGGTGAGTTGGAAGACCCCTATAGATCCGAAGTGACCCGGGCTATTGATTTCAATGGTTTGGAAGTCAATTTGGATGTCTGACTAAGTTAGCCTGCTGGGAGGTGCAGCCTAAAGTGCTTGCCTCCTAGCCAATCAGGGATTACGTTTGAAAATAAGAGGGTTTTCAACATATGGCTTACTGGCTCATTGCAGGGCAGGGATGAGAGTGGTTGTTGGGTGTTTTTGCTGCTGCTGTTGACTGGGTGGATGGAAGGGGAGGCAAGGCGATAGGCACTGCAGCCCACACTTTGAAGGTTTGAACAAGAGAAGAAGGGAAAAGGGGGGAAGGAAGAAAAGTTTTGGAGAGAGAAAGAGGGAGAAAGAAGGTTGAAGAAAACATTTGGGAAGGAGGGAGAGAAAATTAATCAAGCATGAGAAGACTTTGAGTGCTGGGTTTTTTCTTGGGGTTCAAACAGCCTGGCTTTTGCCTTTGCTTGTTGCTTGTGTTGGATAATATATCCCATTAGTCCTACTGCACCCTCGTGGTCTGCCTTCCTCAAGCCTGAGGGAATGCATCCAAGTTATTTCTTTTGGGGGGTACACCAGCCTGCCTTTCGCCTTTGCTTGTTGTGATCCCCTATTACCTTATGTCTTTTCCGAGAAAATTCAAGGAGGCAGCTCTTTTTTAAAAAAAGAAAATATTTTTGCAATTCTTTAAAAAAAAACTCTTAAAAATCAGTGGATCATGTGAACATGTTCAAATTTGGTATGCTAACAGAGGAGGATGTGTTCTACCACTGTATCAATAGAATTGGTCTAAAAATGAGGGAGAGAGAAGCCCCTGAAGTTTCCCCAGTGCCAGTGCTGTTTTTCCCTCATTGCGCAATCATGTCCGCCATTAATGAATCAATTTGGAAGTTTCGGAAAGTTTCAATTTTTTTTTGAAAAATTCAGAAGTGACTTTAGATTCAAACTTTAGACTTTAGATTTGTATGTGGCAAAGATATCCACCTAAAAAAGATAACATCCTGCCTCCTGCAGTGCTAAGGAGCCACCAGAGCTCCTTAGCACTCCCTCCAGGGACATTGCAATGAGCACCATGAACGTGTCCAAAAGCCCTGCCAATGACCTCCACAAACACCATACTGCCCCCCACTCAAGTGAAGGCTTTCATATTGGAACAATTTCATCCTGGATTTCATGTTTTTCCACCAGAATGGACATCCTAGGATTCCTTTCTCCCTCCATTGCTGTGTAATTTGCATGACACCACCCACTGCCTCTCCCTTAACCCTTTCCTACCCTTTCGTATGGTTTGGAGAGTAGTTCACCCTGCACCCAGAACACTGAAACCCACCAATGACAGATCTGGACCAAACATGGCATACAGTACCCTGGTGACCAACTGAATATATTGAAAGGGTTTGGGGGAGGACTATCCCACCTGCGTGGGAGCTGTAGTTCACCCTGCACCCAGAAAGCATCCTGAAGCCCCAATGGCAGATCTAGAACACACGTGGCACACAGAACCGTGATGAGCAACAGAACATACTGGAAGGGTTGGAGGGGGAATTACCCACCTGTGTGGGAATTGTAGTTAATCCTACATCCAGAACCCCATCTATGTCAGATCTTGACCAAACTTGGCACACAGATCCAACATGCCCAACGGTGAATACCGGCAGAGGTTGTTTTTTGGGGGGGAGGGGATTGCACTGGGAATCTGGGAGTTGTAGTTAACCCTACATCTAGAACCCCATCAATGACAGATCTTGACCAAGCTTGGCACACAGATCCAACATGCCCAACTGTGAATACAGGCGGAATTTAAGGGGGGGGGGGGGGGGATTGCCCTGGGAATCTGGGAATTGTAGTACACCTGCATCCAAAAAAACGGTGACCCTTACTGACAATAAAGCGGGATCAAACTTGGCACAGAGAAGCCCAATGAGCAACCGAACATACTGCAGGTTTTGTGGGAATTGGCCTTGATTGTGGGAGTTGTAGTTCACCTACACCCAGAGAACTCTGTACCCAGCCTGGTGTAGATATACGCCTTGTAACACTTCTCCAGCTCCCAGGACTCCCTAGCATTGAAGCAGGACAGCTACCGTAACTACAGTAATGTCAGACTGTGTCAATTGCACAGCGTAGCTGCCCCAGGTCCTCTCTTTGTGCGCAGCACGAGACTGAACAGGGGGGAAGCCCTTGGTCAGTTTGCAAAAGGCGCTAAGGCAGCGCAAACGGCGTTTTGCAAAAGGAAGGGAGGCGGGCCGAGCCCATCCTCTTCCTCGCAGCAGCTCCGCCTCGCCCGGGCGTCACTTCCCCGGGAGGAGAGAGGAAGAGGAGGAGAAGATGGCGGCGCTGGGGGAGCCTGTACGCTTGGAGAGAGGTGAAAACCGAGGGGGGCGGGGGTTGGTGGGGTTTCCCAGCCAGATACTCAGTCAGTCAGTCCGGGGAGGATCCGCAGAGCAAGAGGGGCGCGCGCGCAGGGCGCAGGACGCAGAGCTCTTGTTTACAAGGCAGTCGTTTAAAGGACGGTCGCAGCGCGTGGGGCTGATCAGGAAGCAGCTCTTAGGACCTTTGTCTTCCAGCTAAAGACCCAGTGAAAGTGCAGCCAGAATAGCCCTGATCCTGGATGCTTGGGACCAGCAGTGTTTTGGATGTCTGATAGATAATTCCCCCTCCCCCGCCAGATTTTGGAATACCTGTTGTTAGAGGCAATGCCACTCTGGGTTTTTGTGAGTTTTCCAGGCCATGTTCCAGAAGCAGTCTCTCCTGACGTTTCGCCTGCATCTATGACAGGCATCCTCAGAGGTTGGGGAAGTCTGTTGGAAACTAGGAAAATGGGGTTTATATATCTGTGGAATGTCCAGGGTGAGAGAAAGAACTCTTGTCTGTTGGAGACAGGTGAGACTGTTGCAATTGACAACCTTGATTAGCATTTAATAGCCTTTAGGCTATTCCACAGATAGGTAAACCCCAATTGCCTAGTTTCCAACAAACTTCAAAACCACGGAGGATGCTTGCCACAGATGCAGGCAAAATGTCAGGAGACAATGCTTCTAGAATGTGGCCATACAGCCCAAAAAACCTACAACAACCCAGACCTCACAACCTCTGAGGATGTTTGCCAAAGATTGAGGTGAAACGTCAGGACAGAATGCTTCTGGAACATGGCCATACAGCCCAGAAAACTCACAACAATCCAGTGCCACTCTGTAAGTAGTTTATAGGCTTACCAGGAAAGGGGGGGGGAGACTGTTGCCCTAAATTCCTCTATTCCAAGACCACCAGATTTCCCAGAACTCCTTAATTCATATTATTTAACAGTTGAAAACATGACTTCTCTCTGATTCTCTCCCTCGTCATAGTAAGTGCTACAGGTTGAGTATTATCCGAAATACTTGCCTTCAGCATTGGGTACCTTTTTTTTCACTCTCCAGATTTTGCCATACCTGTTAGTAGCAGTGTCAATGGGGGCATCTACACCAGGAATCTACACTTGGGACCTTCAGGCGTTTTGGACTTCAACTCCCACAACTGGCTGTTAGGAATTGTGGGAGTTGAAATCCAAAACACCTGGAGGGCCCAAGTTCGCCCATGTCTGATCTACACCATAGAATGTATGCAGTTTGGCACCAGTTTAACTGCTGCAGCTCAATTCTATTGGAAGCATGGCAGTTGTAGTTTTACAAGTTCTGTAGCCTTCTCTGCCAAAGTGCTGGTGACTCACCAAAATGCAAATCCCATGATTCCACAGCATACAGCCATAGCAGTTAAAAGTGGTGTCAGACTGCATTAATTCTACAGTGTAAAAGCACCCGATATCACTCTGGCAGCAGTTTATAAGCTTATATATCAGGAAAGGAGCAGAAACAGACCATCAGATTTCTAAGAACTCATTCATAGAATCATAGAATCAAAGAGTTGGAAGAGACCTCCAGTCCACCCCCCTGCCAAGAAGCAGGAATATTGCATTCAAATCACCCCTGACAGATGGCCATCCAGCCTCTGTTTAAAAGCTTCCAAAGAAGGAGCCTCCACCACACTCCGGGGCAGAGAGTTCCACTGAGAGTTCATTGATTAGTATTATTTAATAGCGCGATCATTTCCACTCTCATATCTTCACTTTCATTGTGTGTATACTATTACAGTAAAAGTAAAGGTTTCCCCTAACATTAAATCCACTTGTGTCTGACTCAGGGGAGTGGTGCACATCTCCATTTCTAAGCCAAAGAGCCGACGTTGTTCATAGAGGCCTCCAAGGTCATGTGGCTAGCATGACTGCATGGAGTGCTGTTACCTTCCTGCTGAAGCGGTACCCATTGATCTACTCACATTTGCATGTTTTCAAACTACTAGTTGGCAGAAGCTGGGGCTAATAACGGGAGCTCACCCCACTACCCAGATTTGAACCACTGACCTTTCAGTCAGCAAGTTCAGCATCTCGGCATTTAACCTGCTGCACCACTGTGGGTTTCATGTATACTACTACACATTGAGTATTCCTATTCACACATGTTCAAGATCAGAAATGTTTGGGATTTTGGAATAGTTGCATTTGCATGTACATACGTAAGAGGATATCCTGGAGATGGGACCCGTCTAAACATGAAAATCATGTTTAGACTTTACACATAGCTTGAGGATATTTTTTAATAATTTTATATATGAAACCCAATTTGTGTAGACTGAAACATCAATGTTTTTAATCATTTTATGCATGAAACAAATATTGTCCAGATTGATTGAATCGTCCAGAAGCAAAGGTCTCACTATCTCAACCAGATTATTCCAGAGATAAGTGAGGTCCAACCTGTCCTGTATTGGTTTAAGTTGAAGTAGCAAAGTGCTCTTCTATGAAATTAAAATCCATACATTACATGAAATACACAATAGCCCATATACAAATATAGGCCATCCCCCCCCCCCCCCCCCCCCCCCCCATGTATATACTCTTTAACAGTTAATTGTAGCTATGGTGATTATGAGCTTCCAAATTGATCAAAGGTCTAGAAACGTAGCCCTATGAGGAGTGATTTAGGGAGTTAGGTATTTTTAGCTTGGAGAAAAGAAGGCTGGCAGGGGACATGATAGCCATGTTTAAATATTAGAAAGAGTGTCACATGGAGGAGGGGGCAAGCTTTTTTTCCTGCTGCTCTGGAGACTATACTATACTGATCACTTAAGTCAGTTTCAAATTGGTATTGAAGAAAATAGTTTTGCTGTGCAGATGATTACATAGGAATTCCTGTCTGAAGCCTAGATGGTGATGACACAAACCACAGAGCACTGATGTACATTAAGGACTTTCTTTTGCACAGTTTCGTGGGTGTTCATTTTCTAGCCACTGCTAGTTTGAAACTAGCTTTGAACTGCGTTAAATGGTCAGTGAAGATGGGGCCTAGGAATGGAATAGTGGGTTCAACCCGCAGGAAAAGGGATTTCACCTAAATATTAGGAAGAACTTCCTTGCAATAAGAGATGAAATATGATGGTGGAGTCTCTTTCTCTGAAGGTTTTTAAACAGGCTGCTGGATGGCCATCTGCCAGAAGTATTTAGATCGCGTGTTTCTGCATGGCAGGGGGTTGGACTGGATGGCCCTTGGGGTATTTTCCAGCTCTCTGATTCTCCTTGCCTTGCACTCCACTTCTGACTCTCTGCCTGTCAAAACAAGCCGTTTGTGTTTCTTTGCTTTGCCAGAGGCCCCAAGCCAGCTGCTGATATAGCTGTGGTTCTTTCACTCCAGTTCCCCTGAATTTTCAAGGCAAGGTTAAAGCAAACTGGAATTCTTGATTAGTTAAGTCTACAGCCCTCATAGTCCCTGGCCATGCCAGATAGATGAATTTGAATTATAGTCCAAAACATTTGGTGAGCACCACTTTGACCACCAATCTCTGTCTCAGTGAGTGTTTGTGCAGGAGTGGGCTAAAGAGCAGTCTTAAAGGCTTAGGAGGAAGGGCATAAATACTCTTGACGGGGCCAGGTGCCATCTGATCTTGGAAGCTAAGCGGGGTCAGCACTGTGAAGATTAGTACTTGGAAGGGAAGCTACCAAGGAATACCAGGTGTTGTAGGCTATATTCAGGGGAAGGCAGTGGCAAACACTAAATGCAATCAGATGCAGTTTATATCAATGTATCTTGCCTATGCTTCATGGGGAGCCTAAATACCCTAAAGGCACCAGATCCCATCTGGTCTTGGGCACTAAGCAGGGTTAGACCTTGTTAGTACTTGGATGGAAGACGGCCAGAGAATACCAGGTGCTGTAGGCTATATTTTAGGGGAAGGGACTAAAAAAACAAAAAACTTCTGAATATTCCTTACCTAAAGAAACCCTATGAAGTTAATGGGGTCACCACAAGTCCAAATGCAACCTGAAGGCATATACACTCCCACGATTTATGAGGTATTATCTTGATCTTGGAAGAATGCAGAAGTTCTTTTGGAACCAAAGTTCCCTTCAGATATCTGCATCACATAAACACACACACACACACACACACACACAAAGCTGCTACACAGATAAATAGGACTAAATAGGACTTACAGAATAGTGGAGAAAGAGAAGACTAAGCTTTGCCAGTTTTGATACTAGCAGGAGTCTTTTTTTTTTTTTGCCATGTTATTTTTTCTCATGGCAACACATTGTAATATAGTCCCTATAAAAGCATTTCTCAACCTGGGGGTCAGGACCCCTGAGGGGGTCGCAAGGGGGTGTCAGAAGGGCTGCCAAAGACCATCAGAAAACACAGTATTTTCTGTTGGTCATAGGGGTTCTGTGTGAAATGTTTGGCCCAATTCTATCATTGATGGGGTTCAGAATGGTCTTTGATTGTAGATGAACTATAAATCCCAGCAACTACAACTCCCAAATGTCAAGGTCTATTTTTCCCAAACTCCACCAGTGTTCACATTTGGGCATTCATGCCAAGTTTGGTCTACATCCATCATGGTTTGAGTCTACAGTGCTCTCTTGATGTAGGTGAACTACAACTCAAAAACTCAAGGTCAGTGCTCGCCAAACCCTTCCAGTATTTTCAGAGACAAATCCACACCACCATCTCCACCAGTATTCCAGGAGCAACAAAAATAATTTTATGGTTCGGTGTCACCACAATATGAGGAACTGTATTAAGGGGTCAGAGCATTAGGAAGGTTGAGAACCTTCCCTATATTATTGGGGGTTTTTTCCGTGTCAGGAACAACTTGAGAAACTGCAAGTCACTTCTGGTGTGAGAGAATTAGCTTTCTGCAAGGACGTTGCCCAGGAGATGCCTGGAAGTTTTGATGTTTTACCATCCTTGTGGGAGGCTTCTCTCATGTCCCTGCAATGGGGAGCTGGAGCTTACAGAGGAAACTCATCTGTGCTCTCCCTGAATTCGAACC